CCAAAAATGGTTGTCTCATACTCTCATGACACAACCAAACAGAATAACAAATCCACCTATCTACAGACCTTGAAATGTGGAACAGTTAGTTTAAGGAAATCCGAGTTCGGTTGGAAATCCGCATCGAAAATTGCAACAAACTCGTAAGCTTCCACATAATCACAGCTCATTGCAGATTTAAGGTTGCCGGCTTTGTATCCAGTTCTAACCAAGCGATGCCGGTAAATTATGTTGACACCCTTTTGGCTCCATTTAGTAACCTCAGCTCTAATTAACTGCTGGATGCTTTCATCATCCGAATCGTCTAGAACCTGAATTAGCAGTCGATCTTTCGGCCAGTCAAGCTGACATACAGCAGACATAGATTGCTCATATACCTGAACAAGAATAGACATTATGTAACTTCATTAATCTAATTCAATAATGAATCACATAACCATGTAAAAAGATTGATACTTTGTTTCACCATACCTCTCTCTCATTGCACATTGGTATCTGAACAAGAACCATTGGATACTCAGATCCTGATCCTTCAACATCATCATTTCGAAAAGGCTCATCATTGATTCTCGGCTTAATCTTCTTAAACTTGATCCAAAAACAGCCTAAGCAAAGAATCAAACGATCTACAGACTGTACAAGGAACAGTACAATACAAAACTTTGAGAGAGCTTTGATTGGAGGAGCAATATAATCAGCTCTTAAACTCAACCAACCAACATAAAGCAGATGAAACAAGCTCTGGATCTCAAGTTTGCTTGTTGGGATGTGTAAATTAGGGTTTTTGAAGTAATGCCATCCTCTGTAATAAGCAACTAACTCAAACCCAAGAATAGCTAATGAAGTAGCTAAGAAGAGCTTAATAGCTGAGAAAAGCCATCTGTCTCTATCAAGTCTCTCAGAGCCTAATGGGTGAGTGAAACTAAGCCTTCTCTTGACTGAACCAAGAAGAGACCAGAAGACTGTTGCTAACCAAGTGAGACATCCAACAGCTTTGTGAGCTTTAAGGAGCAGAACCCAAGTCACTTGCTTAGCATTCTTGCCTCTACTCTTCTCCATTGGTTGAAATGCAGAGTCTGGTTCCTCAACTTCAACGATTGAGTAATTGGGATTCTCCATTTTCACCACTACTGGTGTACCTCTCCTTGTTTCCTTCACCCACAAATCTGAAAAATCAAACCTTGGAGCCATTTTTCAAGCTCAAGACTCAAATCTGGAAGAAGAAGAAGAAGTAGTTGAATCTCTTGACTAGAGTTAAGACCCAAATCTCAAAGTTGAAACTTTTAGGCTAAACCAATCTGGAGAAACCAAAAGGGAGTGACTTTGAGTGAGTAAATCTTCAGACTTAAGGTTAAAGACCAAGACTTTTGTAAGAAATCTGAACAACCCAGATCCAAGAACTCGAATATCTAAAGACCCATTTTTGAACAACAGACAAAGAAGCAGCAACAGCTCAAAGGGGTCATTAATAGTGACCTGCGAGAGAGAGTAAAGACAATGAGTGGTTTGGGCAAGTGAGAGAGAGAGAGAAAGATTGATACTTGGCAATGGTAGAGAAAGAGAGAGAAGAAGAACAAGAAAAGTATCAAAGATCCCTTACACTTTCATGTGAATGTTTCCTCTTCAGCTAACCCTCAATGATGGCTTCAACATGCAAATTCATCTCCTTTTTCCAAAAAAAAAGTTTTTAACATTTCATGAATCTTTCTCATAGAGTATAGCATTTTTGAAAAACAACTTTTAGATAAAAGCTAGTAAAGACTAAAGAGGAAAAAAAAATCAATGGATAAAAATTCAAAATGGTAGTGATTTTAATGGGCTAGTAATCTAAAAAGGGTACAAGTTTTAAAAGCATTTTTACTTTGTAATGAATTATAAGAAGATTTTGTAATCATGGACAAATCTAGTTTTAGGCTTTGAATGATTAGATACGTGGCAATTGCATTTGATCTCTGTTTACATGTAGCTGATAAACAAAAACTGAACTGTTCATCAAATAGGCAAAACACCCAAAATCACATAAAGAGAAAACAAACAAATATGAAGAACAAAAAATATATTTGTGAGTAAGTTTATTATCGACCATGATAATTCTTCTCGGAAAAAATATGTTCTTAACTTGTTTCGCTCGTTATGCATGTTTTTGCCGCATTATAAGATTGAACTAGTTTTGATAGTTTTTTTCAGAAAAATATGTTTTTGTGATTTAAAGTGATTAAAAATGAGTTAAAAGTCGATGTTACTGTTCCATTCGTTCTTAATTTGTTCTGCTCGTTATGCACATTTTGCCATGTTAAGTACTATATATTAAACCTTAATAAATATTAGATTGAACTTGTATTAGTATTGCCAGATTATCAAATATATCATCAATCAAGTATCATACTCCCTCCGTTTTCGAATAGTTGTCGTTTTAACTATATGCACACAAATTAAGAAACTATTAATGTTGTTAGTTTTTCAATATAAAAATATCATTAATTATCTACCTAAACATAATTTAACCAATAGTAAATCAAGTTGCATAATAAAAATAAATATAAAAAATAAAAAAGTAATAAATTTTGCATCGAAAACAGAAAACGACAACTAATTAAAAACAAAAAAATTTCTCTAAAACGACAACTATTCGAAAACGGAGAGAGTATAATTTTATTGTTGAGGATATATTGCTAAACCATTTAATAAGGCCGTGTATATCTAAGGGCTTGATTGGTTCTCCCGCTAGCACCCGCCTAGCGGTTGTTAGCGGTCGGTTGCGGTTGCTAGCGGTTGGTACCAATCATAGAAACCGCTCCACACCGCTTCGAACCGCTCGAAATCGTTGGATTTCAAAAGCTCCTTCCCGCAAGCGTTTGCGGTTGCGGGCGGTTGCGGTTGGTGTAAAAAAGGAAATAAACTAAAAAAGGAAAATAAATAAATTAAAATATATATCATCATGTCTGATTTATATTCACGTTAATTCTAAAAAAATAATTATTATTTAACTATAATTTTCTAATATAAATAATTATTTTTGTTTTCAATATAAAAATTTATATGAATAATTATTTATGGTTTTTAATCATTAATCATTTTTAAAAAATTTATACTTTTCATAACTATAGTTTTTGGTGTTTTATAATTTTTTATAATCATATATTAAATTTATTTTGGTAAATTTTGGTTTAACCGCTATCGTACCCGCTGATCAACCAGTCGTAAATCTCCCGCAAACGCACCCGTTTTCAACCGCTAAACCAGTCGGTCAAAACGCTAAAAAACGCTTGAAACCGCAACCGCCCGCTTCCGCAAACTCCCACAACTGCAACCGCAACCGCTGCGATCAAACCAGTCAAGCCCTAAGACTCTAGTATTTTTAAATTTGGTACTAATTATATTATTTTATAATAATTAAAAAAACTCAATTTATATTTATAGAAAATAATTGTGATGCCACTTATGATAAGAGAAATTAACAACAGACTAAATTTTATTCATTAATAAGATAATTAAATTTTCACATTCTACTGAGTAAATTAACGATTTTATAAGAAAATAGATAATTTTATTTGAAATTGAAAAAGACAGGATAATTTCTTTAAAAATAAAAAATTTTAAAAAGGAAGATGTAAGTCAACATATAATTTTACTAATTTAGATTTTCTGATTCTAAATATTTAAAATTTAATAAAAATTAACAATAAAGTATGTCAGGTTTGATATAATTTTTTTTTTATTTGGATATCAATTCTACTTGCCTTTTCTTTTCTTCTAACTCTATTTCTTTATAAATATTTTTTTCGTGCAGGATTTTGGGTATTTGCATTCTACATCTAGGAAGCACGGAAGCTTCGTCGGACGTCCACTTCCCGCTTCGGAATCTTAGTCGGAATCGGAAGCTCTCGGAAGCTTTCGGAATCTCGCTTCCATAACGCTTCTAAAAAATTCATTTTGGAAGCTCCTTGGAAGCTTACGATTCTATTTTGGAAGGTTGCGATTCCATTTAAAAAATTTGATGTCACAAAATAAATAAGAAATAAGAAATTATTTTTGATAGTTTTTTTATACAACAAAAGAAAAACCAAAACTAATTTTGTATTTTATTTTTTAAAATATCATAGTTAGAAAAATGATAGCAGCATGGAACATTTATTAGGGAGATGTTGAAATGATTAATTGAATTAAATTAATTTCGAGAAATTTGAGTTTGATGATGTTTTTATTGGTAAAAAAAAAATTTAAAACAATTTTATTTGATGGAATTAGTAAAATGAGAATGAAAAATGATCTTAAATTTTTGACTTTGAACTATTTGACTTTTCTCTATTGTAAACGTACACTATTTGATTTTTAAATATAGAGAGATATTTAGAATTTATGTATTAGATTTGTATGTTAATTATAATTTTTTATATGATATAATGTTTATTGTTTATTATATATATATATGTATATATATATATATATATATTAATTTTTATATACGCTTCCAACACGTACCCACTTTCTATAATTTCTATAAAAATCGCTTCCACGTTTCCAAATGCTTCGCTTCCGCGTACCCGCTTCTGATTCCATGCAACCTAGTTCTACATGTGATTTTCGAACCGTCAAAGGTCGACCATTGGAGAGTAAATGGTTCTCAATCCAGAAAGAAACAATCTAAATGATGACAAAATCAGTCAACATTCAAATAAGAAGTAGTTCGAGAATGAGTGAAAAGTATATTAGATTTCACAAAAAGATAAAATAAAAAGATGATGAAGATTAACACAATGGTAGATTTAGCTAAAATGGTTGCGGAGGAAGTTCTTGAAATCATCCACCAAATGTGATGAGACTGAGGGATGTAGATTTAGCCATAAAATTAGGCTCTAGCTTTGGTTTGGAATAATAATTTTACTTTTACGACAGAAAACAAATTGACACGTAGAATTCTTTGGACATCCCTCAATCTAGGGATGCATAGTGATAACAATAATAATAAACCAAAAACCATAGATAGTAAACCGGTCAAAAATTCAAATTTGGTTTGATTTATGTGTTCAAACCAAAAACACTTGAACCAACCACAAAGTTGTCAATGTGTTCCTCCATATTTAGTAGTCCTTTCAAGCTATAATAGTTTTTGGGTTCAATGGTAACATCTATTTTAACAGAGAAATAAAAATCAAAAGAATAACTTAACCGATCCTGAAGTTTCTATCTCTTATGTCTAGAAAAGTACCAATCCTGGCTTTGTAAGCTCTATAGTTCTCACTAGTAAGAACCCTATATTTCTTCTCAATACGGAAATTCTAGGATCCAACAATTTCTATATATTCTTCAGGCACCAGAAATTGCAGTGTCTAAAGCAATTTTCACCAGCATTATTGTTAAGTTAGAAGCTCCCTTGTCGATTGTCAAGAGCCATGAAAAATGTTTTGTGATTCCACCACCATCCTTTTGGAATATCATTGAGCATCGATCATCTCGGTGTCTGAATGTTCTTTCTCCAGGGGTTTGGACTCGCTGTCTGAATGTTCGTTCTCCTGAGGTATGAATACTGTAGCAGCAGATGGAGATAGAGTAGTAATGTCCGAACAAGAAGAATCAACAGCCAGATTTTCAGCCGCTGGATCTTCTTTCCCATTTGCTGCTTCTTCTTGATGATCTGTTCCGGAATCATGTTCCATGTCAATAGAAGGGTTTGATTCAGAATCTACTGTATCAACCCTTGCGTCAACTTCCTTTCCTTCTTCAGAGACTGGTACGGATGCTGACATTGACGACAATGATGATTCTTTTCCGCATTCAGGGTCTTCTGAATGTGAGATGATGCCGTTACACAGAGAGGACACACTTGTGTCATTTGCTCCCACCCCGGAACTCTCAACAGAGCCATCTTGGTTAGATTCTGTGTTCAATGTATCTGTTTTCTTTTCATCTTGACCTTCTTCGGATCTAAGATTTGATGGTCTGGGCTGAACCCTGCACCAATACCAGATATCGTAATCTGTTAAAGCTCTTTTGCTCAACAGTTCTAGCAAATTCACGAACTCCGCAAAAGGATATATATTCTTCTTGTCAAGAAAAAAGAAAGAAAGTGAAAGGCTCTACCTGCTGTAGAGGAGCATGTATGCTCGTTGAGAAAGGACATCTTCAAGTTCAACCTTTTCCACCTGCGAGTATTTTTAGACGGGATTAGAAGAAGATCTCTGAAAATTCTTGTTTTCTCGTATTCACATCCTGGTTTATGTCAACATCCGTAATAGCCAACCAAAACAATGACAGAAGATGATTCTTACCTCAGAATCGTCTATTCTATACCAGTTTCCACGGAAGTCCTTGACATAGCATATGTAATGGCCGAAAAATGAGGCATTCAACATATCTAAATGGACAATCACAGCATAGAGTTTGTATACATCTGATCCTTCTACTCCACTGCTCATGTAAGGGCCTAGATCAAATGTCTCGGGAAAACTAATTCTTTTGTTCAGTTTACCGAATCTCCCACCCTGCACATAGTTTTAGATTTATTAGACCATCTATGTCAGAAGAATAAGAAAAAGAAAAAAAAAGACTAACTAAAAGCAAAAGTGAGGATAATGGAGCCCAAACCTGGAATCTTTTTAAGGCAATTGTAAGAATATTTGGAGCACAACGAATTGAAAGGCGCTTGCATGCCTTCACATAGTCATCACATCTGGAAAAGAAATACTAAACTTTGAGAAAAATATTCCATTCACAGGATGAGCTATCAACTATGTCTCTGTTTTAGAAGAAATTAAGGCGTCAGAAGGAATACAATACCTATCACATTTGTATAAGTTATCCCCCTGAAGCCACTCTTTAGCTGTGAACTGATCGAGACATTCCTCCAATGATACCGCATCCCCATGTATCTCAACAGTTAAATCCATCATATTTTCATATTGGTCAGAAACATTACTGCAAGCAGTACACTGGACCTGCAAAATAAGAAAAATGCAGCAAATGAGGGAAATGTTCCAAAAAGAGAGAGGATGATAATCTAAAGGAACTGAAGCAAGTTTCAAACATGAAACATAGATATGATATGTTGAATATATAAAGCAACTGAAGCAAGTTTCAACATCTTCAATAAAACCAATCATAGGGGATAAAAAGAGTGCAAGGGTGAGTGCAATCAAACTTGAACGAAAAAAATTGGAAAATGAGATCATGACTACATGCAGTCTTCCACTCACTCACATTACAAACCTCTTAAGAGTAGGTTGATAAGAAAGATCTACTTCAGTCTGTAGGTTAACCTGTTTCGAACTAAATGTAAGATCCAATCCAGGCCCTAGGCTAACCTGTTACAAACTTATTACCTAGTGTCTAGTGACTCTACGATTCAAACCTAAAGCGAACATAAGTATGTCGTCTCGACACACCTTCCATTATTCTTGTACTAATGGTACATCACTGGATTATTAAAATTTGCACAGACAGCACAAGACCTGCTACTAGGATAAGGAAACACACCTGTGACTGAAGGAGACCACCAAATATATATTGAATTAGTGTTGTTTCTTGGGCGCGAGGAGGCACCACTTTTTCTCCACCAAATTCGTCGAGGCAAACAGATTGCATCATATCAATTGCAAACCTAAATCAAATGAATTCTAAAAGCATTAGCTGACAGATTGACAGAAACTCCACCGCTAGATTACACCAACCAAAAACAATTGCTGACCTCATCAACTCATGAGCATCCTCCTGTCTTCCATACCCAAGATTTCCACCAATATTCGGCAGCCGTGAAATAATGTTCATTGGTGAAAAAGGAAACCGGCTATGGTTTGCTCTGTCAAGATGATTTTCAAATTCACAGAAGAAGCACCAATCATTTCGCCTACCTGTTAAACAAAACATAGAAATAAAATTGAAATGAATACAGAAAATCCAACTAGAAGAGTTGTGAAGCATTAAAATTTCTCGAAAAAATTACATTCTCTTTTGTGGCCTCTCTCCAGAAGGTATGCAACAAGAGGGCGTGTCCAGGAAAGGCATTGTAGAACCACATTAGCGAAACAACTGAAAAAGGATTGACACAAAAGAAAAAGAAAATCATTAGAAAGAATTTAACTCATTCAGTTGATGCGTTAAAGCTACATTAGAAACCATATGAACAAAAACCTGTTTCCACAATTGGTGAGACCACAAGGAGCCATTATTGGTCTGTCCCAGTTATAATATCTAACCAAACTTTCGTATGGGAAAAGAACCTGCAGAAGAATGCAAACAGAATCAGACTTGCACGATGAAAACAATCAAGAGAGTGTCAAACATCAGATTACTAAAAAGAAGACCATTACATCTGTTGGCTTGATGCCAGCCTTGCTTTGGCTCAGTTGAGGAACCAATGCAACCTTACTCTTCTTAGAAGCAGACATATTCCCAAACAGAGAAGCTTTGTAATCGATATCATCTCTTCCCACCGGTGATGAGTCAGTACTCCGAAACACCTTGCATTTTAGTTTATGTCCTGACTTCCAATCTGACGTTTGGCAATCCGCAGAGCTAGTTCCAAAGAACAGAGGCAGAAAAAAAAAAAAAAAAAACCAAATTCAAAAAACAGATCCTTCAAAAGCAAGATTGTTCTGTATGCGTAGCTGGTGAAATCCTAAAAATCGAAACTTTCAAAAGCAAAATTGTTCCTTTACTATATCTCCAGCTACGTCTAAATCAAATCTAAAAACCCTAATAAAGATCAATCTTGACTCTCTTCAACATACCAGTATCTCACAGATTTGCAACGAGAGCACTTTTTGGTAGAAGTCTTCCCACAGACAGAACATTCAACCGTGTCGGGAACCATGAAATCTCGGCGATGGTCTCTATCGAAACCACCGGAGCCACCACCGACCTCGAAGTACTTGGCTGCCGTTCTTTTAACAAAGTAGAGGAGACCGATTGAGAGAAAGAATAACGTCAAGATAAGCTGCGTGAAGAAATTCAGATCCACAAATAATCCAACTTCATGCATCTAATTCCCTCTCGAACATCGATCTCCTTCTTCTTCTTCTTCTTCTTCTTCTCAGATTCGATTCAGAGATGCCAAAGAGAATCTCCTCTGTTTTTATTTTTTTCTCTCGGTGTTTTAGAGTTAAAGAATGAGAGAATGGGCCAATTAAAATCTTTGGACAATTATTTTCTTTCTTTTTTTGGTAATTGGACAATTATTTTCTTTTTTTTTTTATTTATCAGTTTCCATTTTTTTTTTGTCCTTACTTTTTTTTTTCTCTCACTGATTTAGTTAATTTAGAGTTATTACAGGCCAACTACTATTTCTCTGGATTTTTTCCCATTATGAAAAAGTTAATTTTAATGATTGTTAGATACCACATGTGTGATATATAGTTTAATAGATAATTGTTCTATCTAAAAAATTTAAGTTTTTTTTTGGCAATCATATGTGAAATACTATGTTGAATTATAATCAAATTAACTATGACTGTTTTTTTTTGTTGTCAACAACTATAACTAAATCCGTTTAAAAGAGTCATTCCTGAATAATGTTGTTTTATATAAGTGATATATTGCGGTTTGATACGAACTTTTCGTGAATTCTTCTTTGTTTCTCCGAATATCTTCCAAATACACTGAAAATGATGTCCACTCGGTTGGGGAAGACACCATCTTCACCAGATTTGAATAGTCTGTTAAAAAAAACTACGTGTTGATTGTCGCACCAATCATACAATTCATTGTCCAGTCAAGAGCTTCTACTTCTGAATGTAGAGGAGAAAGACTTCTACGAACGTTAGCAGCTCCCATAGTTGGCGACACCTCGTTTAATGACGTACAAAACCACCTTAAACCTAAGAACTTATCACTACATTTCCATGAACCATCCACAAAACATCGATGTCCGGAGTACATTGATTCATGTGAAAAATCTCTCACGCAATTGCTTGTTTATGAATCCAAAGATCCAGGATTTTCAGTATGAAACTCAACTTGAGCTAACTGCCAAGCTTGTGCCTCATTTTTCGCTAAGCACAATATCTCTAGTGGATCTTTATCCACGTTTTCGTATAACTTATCATTCCTTACTTTCCAAATATACAAAATTATCCATGGATACAAGATATATCTATCTCTCAAGGAGTTCTCCAGAATAAATAATCCATGGCTCTGAATGGTAACTGTGTACCGCTACAATACAGTTTATACAGCTTTAAGAGTTATCAATCACAAAAGCTTTATCAAAAGCGTTACTCAAAGATTTACTCTCAGCTTTTTGGTATAACTTTCTCGTACAACTATTTCTTACAGTTTTACACTATTCCGGAAAATCTTACAGCTCCAGCTAATGGCTAAAAAATTTATACAGTTTTTGGTTACCAATCAGACCCCATATATGTGTAAAAAGAAGCGGAGAAAAAAAATCTATATAGCCGTAGGAATCTGCAAGAGAGCCCAAATCTAACGTGCTGGATGGCATTCAAAAAATATTATTAATTGTTTTTTCTAATGCCCCACATCTACTGCATTTTGTATCACAGTTTATACTCCTTTTTCGTAGATTTGTCGTGACCTACACGCAGCCGGATAATATTTGTCACAAAGAATGTCATAACTTAGGTGGACATTGTACTTTCCAAGAATCTGCTTTCAACGGTTTAATATCTGGGCCAGAAAAATGTGAATTGGGTTTGAAACCTCAACATATATATATATATATATATATATATATATATATATATATATATATATATAATCCATTAATAATAATATTGTTTTAGTCTAATAGTTAAAATTGTATGAGTATTATAACTATTTCTATATCATGATAGCAACAATAGGATCAGTTTATAGAATTTAAAACAAATATAGAAATAGTTAAAATACTTATCTTATCAATTCTTCTCTTAGTAAGTTTCAATTTTTTATTTTTTTGGTTATTGAATGATATTTTATCAATTACTAGTAGCCCTGAGACCAATTATCCGGGATCCGGGATCCGATCCGGGATCCGCTCCAAAAAACAGGATATCTGGGTGGGCTGGATCCGGATCTGGATAATGAAAACACGGATCCGGCATGATCCGGATAATAGAAAATTTAAAGCCGGATATCCGGATCGGGATATTTTATATTATAATAATATTTTTTAATATTTTATTATTATTATTGAAATTTTATTAATAAATTTTACTGTTTTATATAAGAATATTATTTTTTAATATTTTTAATTATTTCTATTAAATTATTTGTTTTTAAATATTTTTCTTTAAATTCTATATTAATAAAAAAAAATTATATAAAAAAACCCGGATCCGTATATCCGGCTATTTTTATTGATATTCGTAATCCGGATATCCGGGTGAAACGGATCCAGATCCAGATAATGAAAAGGTGGATCCGGCCGGATCCAGATACCCTAAAAAAGCCGGATATCCGGATCCGGCTCAGACCTAATTACTAGATCAATGTAGTCACGCTACGCGTGACTTTTTCATTTTTATTATAAAAAAGAATTTGAAATGAAAACTAAAAGAAATTATGTTTTTAATATTATAACACAAATTCTTATTAATATTATTTATTACGACTCGAAATGTTTTAAATTATTTGTATATAGTTATAGAAAACATATATAAAGAATAGTGTATTTTCCAGATAGATCTAACACCATCTTACATTTTATTAATTCTAAATTCTTCTAATATATTCAATTTAAAGAAAATTTAACTTATTTAGATATCGTACATTTTTCATTAAAGATATGGTTTCTCACATGTTTTTTATTAACATGATATTCAAACATTTGTTATGAATTATCTAATTGATTTTATTAGTTTTGTTAACATGATATTCAAACCTTAACTACATGTTGGAACATATATTTTAGAAATACTGTTGGGGTCGGATTCCACCCGCGTTAAGACCGAGCCAAGACATGACACCTCGGGATCTACCACCAGAACGGCTCGGGGAACTATGACTAGGCCAGCTCGGAATCACTCGCCGAACTGGCTCGGTGAACGACGATCAAATCGGCTCGGGATCAATCACCGAATCGGCTCGGGTTAGGACATGATTAAACCGGTTCGGGTCATCCTGCGTCAGCTCGGAGACGAGACCCAGAACATCCTCACCCGAGCTGAATTCTCCCTTCGTCCCGAGCCGATTTGGCAAAATCACCCGAGACAAAGAACCAAGTCACCCGAGGCAAAAAGGACTTCGTTCACCGAGCAGAAATTCATAGAGTATCCCGAGGCAAAGACTTAGTAAAAGTACCATTTCCAAGCAAGGCTTCATTTCCGAACAAGAAGGATCATTTCCGGTAAACCCGGAAATGATAAAGAAGAATCACGAAGGATCAACTTAAATCAGGAAATCTTCCAAAAACTCCGAAGAATAAGGAAATTATCCTGATCCGCGATATTCTACACCGACTTCAAGATAAATGGAAATCTTCCGAGAATATCGCTGGAGAGGCGGTTTATCACCCCTATATAAAGAGACTCAAGGCTCTCGCAGAAGGCAAGCAATATCGCTCTAGAATTTACACTACGCAAAGCTCTCACAGCACAAACATCTTTTCTTTTACGATCAAACTCTTGTACGATCAAAACTACTCTTTTCATCAATAAGATCAAGAACACCATCTTTGGTTACAATTGTTTCTGTTGTTCTTTGAGAATTCACATTTATCGTATCCCTAAATTAAAACCCTAGACAAATCTCGATTGTGTTAGTTTCGACTTCCACAAATACCTTAAAAAATTTAATTTAAAATTTTTTTAGATATCGAAGAATGCTTTTTCTTAAATAAGTATATAAAGAGAACAATCATACACCAATGGTGGAAAAGGGAGATAGATCATTTCAATTCGATTCACTTGTTATGTAAATATTAAAATAGTGAGCTTTTGAACTTCCATAGATTAATTGGAAAATAGATTAATATTATAGTAATTAAAGATGAAAGAAATTCATTCTTGTAATGCGGTAGAAACAAAATAAAATTGAATACAATATAAACTACATATGTACTATATAACCTCTAAAAATAAAATAAACAAAATAAAAAATCGAATACAATATAACTACATATCATATAATCTCTAAAATAAATTTTGAAATCAAACTCTTACCATCACTATGCCACAATTGTTTTTTAACTCATGCAAGAACATAAAAATAAAGTAAATTTACAGATATGAAAATATGGTGGAAGATGATAAGAGAATGAATATTTATAGATGAGAAGTGGTGAAACTCTTATAATTATTGAGTAAGAGTTACAAATTAGTATTGATTGGTAGGAGTTACAATTGAGTTTAAATGTAGAGTTTAAATTGTGGTCAATACAATTTTCAAAAAGTTAATGTATATTAGGTGGAGGAGTTATAAATGAATTTAAATGTGGAGTTATACATGAGTTTTAAAGTGACTTAATTAGATATTAGTATATTATAGATTTTTAGAAAGAAATGCCAAGTGGCCCAATAAAGAGAGAGTGAAACCCTACTTTTATATGTATGATTATGGCTAATAATATTGTTGTTTTATATAATTGTTTTTAATGTTTATTGTTTGTTAAGTAGTTGTATACTTTTAATGAACTAATTGAATGACATAAATGACCTTTGAATTAATCATCTCATGTAGGTACTCATTTTTGGAATTTGGTTGAAACTCTCATTTACTGTCGCAAAACTTATGCAAAAGCCATAAAACATAAAGCTTAGCAAATATGCCAAATCTCAGTTCTATGGACGACTTAAGAAGACTAATTTGTCCTTGCGCATTAGACACATGAGTTCACAAAATTTTGGAGCACGTGGATGTGATATAACGTGGACTCGACGCATAGGGGACTGGCATTTAATGATGTCATATATGCATGCACATGACATCTTTGTTTGTTATAAGGGAGAGATGAAGATTCGATATTTTTATTGGGTCTATAGACAAGTAGTTTTGTTGTAGACAACTTGTCTAAGTAGCTTTGTTAGCTGTTGTGGGTCTGTAGAAAAATAGCTTTGTTAGATCTGTAAATTAGATTTATGTTGCTTTTGTTAGTTCTGTAGACACATAATTTTGTAAATTCAGTATGTTTAAACTTGTCAACCATTTATCATTACATTTGTCCACCATTATCAT